TCTTTCCCACCAACACACACCCACACTTTAGTGGGGAAAGGGTAAGACTTCGCCGAGGGGGTCACGGCTCTCCACAACAACTACGCTGGGTCCCTGTGAAGATCACAAGAGCCTTGGGTTGACAGTCTCTGCGAGCCAAGACTACAGTCTTACAATTCAAGACAAAAAGTCTACACGGCAGCCAACGACAAGTTTCTGGTCCATTTGCATCTCATTGAGGCCCTCCACAGGCCTTGCCTTGCCAATGGCAGAACCTCCTTATTCAGGGCCCATTCCCAGACCTCTGTTTTTTAGGGAGACGATGGAGCATCTTTCCCTCTTTCCTCCCCAGTCCAAACAACCAGGAGACAACAGACGCCTTTCCAAAATAGATCACCTTTGAGTGGTGCTGCTGCTGCTGGTGGTGGTGGGGTTACTTGTTTTGCTTTGGGGTCATGTCAGGGATTACAGAAAGTTCTTTGGGATTTCCGTGGAATCTGGCCTTTCCTCAGTTTGTAGGTCTTAGACTGCACTGGAGCAGTTTTTTAAAAAGAAAGGTCCCATTGAAATCCATGGGAGTTACACCAGAGTAGTAATGGAGGGGGGCGGGCGCACACTTCTAGTATAATGCTTGATGCCTCTCTGTCTTTGGTCGTCTGACACACACCCCAGCCCATATCGGATTTTTAAAAAATCCACAACCTCAAATAACGCCAACAACAACAACAAAAAAACTGACTTGCCAGGGCGGCAGAAAGTCTCGTGATAACAACCGCGAAAACCATCAAAGGCGACCCATTTCAGAGTTATTCTTCACCTCACCCCATCGTGGAAAAGAGGAGTCCCTAACCAACCGCTGACCTACATTTCCAATAACAGCCACTTCATCAGAAACAGGTTCCAGGTGTTTCATATAGATATACATTAACATGTTCTAATGCACACTCGCCGTATGGATCCTCACCCACCTAGGACTTCTAGGTAGGCACTTGAGTGGGACAGAAGAAGAAGAAAAATAACAGGGCATCTTCTTCCCACCCCACCCCCTCGGTCGCCAATTTATTTGGATTTAAGGAGAGGTGAACGTCTCAGGCTGTGGTCCTGGGTACCTGCGCCCTTTCGAGTCAACTGACTTAGGATCAAGCTGGCAATCTCCTAACTCCACCAGCTGGGCCATGAACCGAAGCGGAGGTCCCTCCACTTCCCACCAGAAGCCGGACTATCCGGCATCTATTTAATTAAGGACCAAACATACAAGTTTTCAGATATCAAATAATATTTTAATTTCTGAATACTTTCAATTTTTTTCCTTGGAATATAACACACAAAGACTGGACCAAACAGTTTTTTTCAGTTATTATAACTTTTACAGTATACAGAAATGTTGCACTTAAAATTAAAAAAAAAAACCCTTCAGCTTTTTTTTCCTTTTAAAACACAAAAACCGTAAACTCTAAGATACTGAATCAAACACGTTATCTATAAGTGCCAACAGTAGGTGTTTTTTTTTCTTTTTTTTTGTCATGCTGAATTCGATGGTTTTTTTCTTTTTTTCTTTAAAAAAGGGAAAATATCAACAGGTATTATCATACAAAGGGCTTGCAAATATACAAACAGATAGAGGAACTCCGTAACAAGTCAGAACAACTAAGTCGAACCCAATTTCATTCAAATTACAAAAAAAATCACTTTGTGATGATTCTCTCGTGTGTATGTGTGTGTGGCTGTGTGTTCTCATCAAAACTGTGTTGTGTCTTAGACACAATTCCGTCTCCCTCCAAGAAATCCTTATTCCCTCCCCAACTCCATTTTAAAATATTTATATTTTAAAAAAACCTAGTCAAGGAGTGGGAGGCGGTGTAAGTGTGTGTGTGTGGGGGGGGAGATGTGGCTCTTTTGGGTCTCTATAATGATAGCTGTGGTTGCTTGAAGCTAAGTAATCCTGACCAGTTTTAAGTGCGCTTCCATTTTTCTTTCCTAGTGGCTTTGGGCTATGGAATTTTAATTTTGTGTCCTTAATTTCTTTCCATCAACCTTTCCAAGACAGTTTTAATTCTTTCAGAACATATATTTTTTTAAGGATACACTTTTTTTTTAAAAAAAAGCCAAGATTATATCAAAATTATTATAGAACCACAGAATAAACTGGTTTGAAACCAGGGGGGGAGGAAAGCTATAGATAGACAACATATGACAATTAATATTTTTTTTGGGGGGGGAGGGAAGCGAGAGACTTCATTCCGCTCTTGTTAATTTTCTCCAGATTTCTTTAAATGCACTTTTATCAAGAGATTGTGTTTCAAAGTTTTACAGCTCCCCGAAACAAAATGACAAAAAAAGAAACTCTTTTCTTTTTTCCTTTTTTTTTGTCAACAACCCAAAAGGGAAAAAAAGAGAGAGAAAGCGAGATAGGTAAGCAACTTCTGAAGGAGAAGGGAGGTCCCCCCCCCAATGCATTCTGTAAAAAGTTCATTCCACGAGTCTCTCTTTTTTAAAAAATTCACAGTCCATTCAAATTAGTCTCTTCTTTTAATGAACCATCTTTTCTTAGCTGAAGGACCTCCAGACAACCGCCAGACCCCCAAGAGTCACTCGCAAATCCTCTGAAAACATTCCCACTATTTTTTTTCCAAATTTTTTCTTTGTGGTTTTCCCCCCCCCCCCTTTCCTCTCTCCACCACTATATTTATATATTCTTATATATATATTCTTATTGGATGGCCATATAAGGCCAGTTAAAACTGCTTCCAGACAGTAACATATCCCTGATAAGGGTTTCTATCGGGGTTTTACCTACCAAACGGACGAAAAATAACTGCTCTATTACTGAGGAAGAGACGGTGCGGAGAGACGGAAGGCGTAGCAACAGTTTCCCGAAGCGAGTGGGCTGGTTTGGGTACTGACTTCTAACGTATTCCTCCAACGCGCACTGCGATTTCTCCTGTAAACTTTCGACGTGGGCTACGTCAGAGAGACCACACGCATCTAGAAGACAGGGCAAAAGAGAAAAGCGGGGGGTGGGGAGACCATCATCAGTTTTTATACCAGTTATGCTTCTCGCCCGCCCGCCCCCCCGAAAATGACAAAGCGTTGTGTGCCCAGGTGATGGAGAGTAAGGCGCATTCGATTAAAAAAAAAAATCCCACGCTGCAATCAACTGCAGTTATTTCCTAGTGAACGTGGCCTAGATGGATCGCCTGCGACGCCTAGGAGCACCCTGTGGAGTCCTATTGAATCACGGGTTTTACATCGATGTAGCGCGCTGCGGATACCGGGGGGACGCCCGCCAGCTCGCCTGCTCAGCCTCGTTTTTTGCCCTTCCAGCCCAGGCCATCTGGGGCAATGAATCTGACTTCCCAGGAACTGGACTTCCTAGGGGCTAGCTCCGGCCCCCGTGAAGGCACAGGCGTTCCTTGGCGCTATGGGGGAAAGGAGCTCGCCTGGTCCGACGTAGTCGCGCTTACTTCCGAGTAAACACGCGTGGGATCCTGCCACACCTCCTTTTAAATATATATATATATTTCCACGGGAGAGAATTCAGCACGTGCTGAAAGCTGGGCGGGGTGCTGGGGCAGGGGCATTTTCTTCTGCTAGGTTTCTGCCTTGTTGCGTTCCTGAGATGGGATCAGTTTTTTTTTTTTAAATGAGCTCCTGGAGGGGCATTTGGGATGCTTGAAGGTGGGGGGGGCCGCTTTGGTTTGGGGGCAGTGGAGAGGGCCCGAGCAGCATCATCTCGACCCCCCCCCCAGCCACATTCAGAAAATAACTGGGCATAAGGGAAGGAAAGAAGAAAGAAAGAAAGAAAGAAAGAAAGAAAGAAAGAAAGAAAGAAAGAAAGAAAGAAAGAAAGAAAGAAAGAAAGCCACACACATTTTCCGAAAGGAGCCCCAGCTTAGGATAATGAAGCTGCGCACCCAAGAAGCGATTCCCCCGAAAGGAGACAGCCGTGGGTTCTCTCAGTCTTTGAAAGTGATGTAAGTGGTCCTTTAAAACTGATCTTGTCAGTTTAGCCTATTCAAAGTCAGCCAAGCAAACTCTGATCTCTCTCTTCATTAGAGCTGTTTCTCTCTGCGTCCCCCCCTCTCCCTTCTCTGTGTGTCTTCTTTCTTCTCCCTTGCTTTCCAATCACACAAACATTTATTTTGTGTAAAAGGACCCAGAAGAAAAAAGGAAGATGATTTTATTTACCTTGCACCAAATTTTAAAACATACCCCTTAAATTTTGCATTATTTTTTTTTGTCTGTGCGTCTCGACCTACTCCTGACAGGCAAAAAAATACAAGGAAGGTTCCCTTTTGATCAGAAACTGCTTTTGCTCAGGTTTTGATATGACCTCCCCCCCCCCCAGCTGCATGGACAAAGTACTAACACATGCTTGTTTTGAAAGCCACTGGGATATATAGACGCTGGCGCGCACACATATATCACCAGTAAATATTATATGCATCTCTTGGTGTTTCCAACGCACGTGCTATTGGGGCGATTAAGAGGCAAATCCCCTGCATCCGTTTCCTTTTATAACCCCACAAAATCAGATAACGGAGCGCTTTATCTAAACGGGGAAGGCCATTTACATAGTCACCTTTTGCAAACGATCATAAATTCGCCACTCTAGAAAAGAGCGGAGAAGAATTCCCCATTAAGATAACTGCAATGATGATGATGAATAATAATAATAATAAGAAAAGAAAGCCTTCGGGGTAGGTTAAGACGGGCCTAGCAGGAATCGAGAAAGCCTCCCAAAGAAAAAGATGACGGGGGGATATTATGTATGGGAACTTTCCATCGTTTAACTTTCCCATTCTGGTATTGTGCCTGTCTAATCGATCACGTTTTGAGCCCAAGTAATTTGGGTGGGGAGGGAAGACTTGGGGGGAGGGGGGAGGGTGTCACGGTGGAAAGCAGCAATAATATAAAAAGGGAAGTTGGGTCACGACCTAAATTTTGGACAAGGTCCAGAAAACGGCTTGATTTCCCCAGACCTCCCTTAACACAACAAGGCCTGAATTGTGAGTCTCTCTTTCCCCCTTTCCCTGCTACAGTGGTCTCGGCCTGTTTCCTCATATCAGTGAGTCTTGAAAAATATAGACATATATTATGTATTTTTTTAAAACAGATCCTCCCGACTAGAAATCATCACGCCTGCCCTCAGGCCAGCTTGAATCGCCTGCCCCCATTCTCAACCCCCCCCCCCCACGACTTCCAAAACAAGCATATATGGCTATGGCTACATAGCGTCCGCTGTACATATTCGCGGGGTGGCCCGGGGAATTATCGTTTTAAAGAAGGGGGAAGAAAGCAAAGTGGCGTTTGGAAAGACTGGCTTCCAGAGTTAATATCGGATGTATTATTCACCTAGGTTGAACCGGGGCTAATTAGATTTCATCATACATTCCATTATTGTTTTATAACTGTCGTGCTATTTATAATGCAGCAGAAAGTTGGCAGAGAAATCTCTCTCTCTCTCTCTTTTGCTTTTCCACTTTTGATCGTATAAGGGCCACCTCTTCTGCTACCATCACTTTGAAAAGGGGAGGGGGGGTTAGAATTTTTTCCGCCCAGGAACTTTATTATTGATGGAGAACGCCACCTTTGCCGCGCTGCGGTTGGGAAACTTGGGACTGGCCAAACGTCCCCTTTTCGAAACAAAAGAGCCTCTGGCCGCTGAGCAGGGAAGGCCGGATTTGGGTCTCCCCCCCCCCACCTCCGAATCCCTAGCGACTATCTTGCCTTCTCAAACCCGATCAGTTGGATTGGCGGAGAATCCAGAGGCGGTCCAAATGCACCCTTTCATTCTAGACCCTTTTCTGTATGACCTTAATGTTTTGTTGTTCTTTTTTTTCCGCCCTTTCTCGGAGTGCTTGTAAGAGGAGACTCGGTTTGGAGCTCGATTTGCACTATTATTTTTTTAAAACACACGGAATTAAAAAAACAACAACAACCAACCAGCGGGCCCTAGTTACTCCTCCAACTAGTGTCTTGGATTGCAAACGCTGAGAGCTGGTCCTGTTCGGAATATTAACGCTCCAGCCTTTGCTCGCTCTCCTTTTGGGTCCAGGGTCGGGACATGGCTCGCTAAAGAAGGCATGCGCGCGGCCTGTTGCAATAACATTCTCTCGAAGGTCGAAGGCTTTGTCCCGAAACTACCCCCCCACACGAAGGTTCGTTTCCCTTACACCCCACCCCCCCTCCTTTCCAGCGAATGGACTCTAGGGCTACAATCCTGTCTGCGTTTACCCGCGAGTAAGGCCCAGTGGAAGAGAGAGGGACTTATTCTCGAGTCAACACGCGGTGGCTTTTGGAATCGTGGACGACCCGCTTTCTCTGTCCGGGTCCCCCGACAGTTCTCAAGTTCTTTTCAATGGGGGGGTTCGCAGAGTGTCCCCCACTCCTTTCCCAAGCCCCCCAGCCCAGCCAGCTCGCAGGGCCTTACCTGAGGTGAAGAGGACGATCGCTTTCAAGCAGCTGTACTCCGCCGAGTCCACGTGTAAGGCCTTGAGCTTCTCGACCTGCTCCTGGAAGATCCGTATGTGGTCCATAAAGGCGACCACGCGGTCGGCGGACATGGGCGAGGCGTGGAGGCCGGCGGCGGCCAGGAGCGGGGCGACGTGGAGGGGCATGGAGCACTGGGCCGCGTTGAGGACGAACAACTCGCTCCAGGTGAGCCGCAGCAAGGCCACCTGGTCGGTGATCTGGAGGTCGGGGAAAAAGGGGATATTCCGGGCCCACTCGACGGCGCTGAACAGCATGCGGGCGGCCAGCTCGCAAATGTTCTCGATGCCCATGATGTTGTTGGGCTGCATGCACTGGCTGCCGAAGCGCGAGGTCGGGTAAGGCTCTGCCCGCAGCAAGAGGGAGATATATCCGGAGAGGTACGAGTGGCAGTTCAGGGGGTCCCCGTTGGTTAAGGCGAACTGGCCGTGGGTCGGCTGTGTGGGCGGCATCCGACCCCTCTGGACGGCTGCAGTGAATAAAGAAGAAACTGCAGCAATTAATATCTGCGTTGCTAACCCGGCGAAGAAAGCGAGGGAGGAAAAGCGGCGGCGCGCAGGTTATTTGGGGGGGGGGAGCAGGGAGAGGGTGGGAGGGGGTCTACCCGAGAGGTCGAGGAGGGGGACGGGCAGGTGCGAACGCTCCCCCCCATTCCCTCCCTCCCCCAAACGGTGGAGACCCTCGGATGGCTATCTAGCCAAGGGTTCAGCCGGCGGTGCCGAATCCAGACCTAGTTTTCACGGCCGAGGGAGGGGGTGAAACAGCCCCAGAGGGTCAAGGAGGTGTGTGTGGGGGAGCCCCTGTCACAATGCACCCCTCCCTCCCCAGAAGCAGCCTGGGAAACACGGCCACGGGCTCTTCCGAAGACCCCCGGAAACCTGCCTCGGCGACTCGCTCGGCACGAAAAACAACCCTCCCCGCTTTAGCAATCTCCTGATATAACCTCTCCTCCTCCTCCTCGAAGATTCCCCCTTTAAAAAAAAAAGAAGAAGAAGGTCTGAGTGTGCAAAAAGACCCCCTTCCTTCTTTCCCAGATCCCCCCCCCCGCCAGAACTCAGAATAGCTTTATTACGCATATAACAACCGGAGCGTTCACTATTTAAAACGAGAGAGAAACAGAGGCCTTCGGGGGTGGGGGGGTGGGGTGGAGGAGAATATGTTGCGAACGCGTCACATGCAGGCACATAGATTTATCCTTCGCATTCTATGTAGATATAGATTTAATCTGCGCTGCCAGGACTGGGGGGGGGGGGAAGCCCCCCGAAAGCGCCTGGCCTCGGCCGTGCCCGTGGAAAGTGGGCCTCTGGTTTGTTTCATAAATTTACATGGTGACAGAGGGAGCGAGAGAGACGGAGCGAGAAAATGAAAGAGAAGGGGGGGGGAGACCCACACGGGGGGTTTAGGAGGCTCTCGCTTCGGAGTGGGCCGCAGTGGGGGCTCCGGGGGTCCCCCAGGAGAAGGAAACCGTCCTGAAGCGACGACATAATCCAGAGACGGGAGGCTGGGTGGGGGGGAGAGAGAAGCGAGGAGGGAAACGCCATTAGGAAGGGCCGGCCGCCGCCGCCGCCTCCTCTCGGCTGGATCCGCCGCCTCGGAGAGCTCCATTTTGCCCTAAATCTCCCCCTCCCCCCGCTCCCGGCTTCCACTCGGGGTCCCGCGTCCTTCGGGGGGCTGCCTCCGGGTCTCTCTCGCCCTCCCCCGGCCCACCGACCCCGCCTGGGAGCACGGGGGGGGGGGGGGGGGGAAAAAAAAAAAAAAAAAAAACGCCGGCTGCTCCGCGGCGCGAGGAGGACCCGGCCAGCCGTCTCTCCCTCGCTCTTCCCCGGGACGAGGAAACTCGCCCTCGGCCTTTTCGCAAAGCCCGTTGGAATGCCAAGCAGGAGGCGTGGAGGCAGGACCCGCGGGGCAAATTCGGGGGGGGAGGCAAGGGTGGTTATTAAAGAAGAGCTACACCGGGGGTGGGGGGTGGTGTAGTGTTGTTGTTTTTTTTTGGGGGGGGAGAAGGAATCTGTCTTGCAAATGGCTCAAGGGTCACCGGGCCGAATTGCACGTTGCTCTGGTGTCGCGACGGACGCGGGAAGAGGAGCAAACAGTGGGCCTGGCCTGGCTACCCC